GCTTTTTCGTCGCAGCGTGGCCCCCCAGAGGTCTTGACCCCTTTCCCAGGCGGCTTTTCATTCCGAGTCGTTTTCTGGCGGTCCCCGGACTCGTAGCTGGCCCCCCGGATGCTGAACACCGGAGAACCATTCGTCGTGTTGGTCCTTTCCCTTTACAGCTAGAGGACGTCAGGGTCCCTCCCTTTCTCCCTCCTCCCTTTCGGAGGGCACCAACTAAACACCAACACCGATCCTGGCCCAGGGTCACCCTGGGCCCAGGATCGGTGTGTATGCCTTGTCGCGCAGGGCAGGAGGGCGTATACGCCGATCCTGGGCCCAGGGTGATCGGGATCGGTGTTGGTGTATAGTTGGTGCCTTCCTACCTTGGCCCGCCCTCCGCTGGCCCTGGTTTTGGGAGCTGCTCAGTGGCCGGCCGGGCTTCGCGACGGGGCCCTGGCCAGCCCAGCGCCCCCGACTCTTCGGCCGCCCGAGCGGGCCCAGCTGCGCAGGGATCCCTCCCTCCCCCTCCTCCTCCACCTCCTCCACCTCCTCCACCTCCTCCTCCCCCTCCTCCTCCGCCTCCTATCCTATCCCTCCCTCCTCCGCCGCCTTCCGGGCCGAGCCGCCAGCAGGCGCTGGTCACCACCTGGTTTCCCCTCGTGAGCGGCACGCACAGGCGCGCGGGGGCGCGGCCCTGGCGGTGGCGGCGGCGACGACGGGCCCTCCCCCCACTCCTCTCCTCCTCCTCCTCCTCCTCCTCCTGCTCCTCCTCCTCCTCCTGCTCTTCCTCCTCCTCCTCCTCCTCCTCCTCCTGCTCTTCCTCTTCCTCGTCCTCCTCCTGATTCCTTCCTCCTCCTCCTCCTCCTCCTCCTCCTCCTCCTCCTTCTCCCTTCTCCCCCCCCCTGTGCAAGCAGAGGTCTCGGCAAATCCGCTTCCACTGCCGCCTGGCACGAGGGTCGCAGACTGGGTGATCCGCCACAACCAATCTACCCGTGCCCAGTGCCAGGTTCCTGTGATTTTCTGCTCGAGTTGCGGGCTGTGCCCAACGCGCGAAAATGGAGTCGTCCGCGGTCTGGTGAAGGAGAGCTGTCATTCGATGGCGGGTATTGGCAACCCTCAGCTGCTCGAGAAAGGCGGGTGGCCAGGGCGTTCCAGGGCGGCGAAGGAGTCGAGCGAAACGGCCCCCCAGCCGTCAGCGGCTACACGAAATCGGGGGCCTCAGCAACCCATCCCAGGACCACTGTCCACTCACGCGGAAAATTCCTCCTCTTTGTCCTCCTCCTTCTCCTCCTCCTCCTCCTCTTTCTCCTCCTCCTCCTCCTCCTCCGCCCCTTGCTGCTGCTGCTGCTCCTCCTCCTTCTCCTCGTCCTTCTCCTCCCCCTCCTCCTCCGCCTCCTCCTCCCCCTCCTGCTGCTCCTCCTCCTCCTCCTCCTCGTTTCTCCTCGTCCCCCCCCCCCTCCCGTCCTACCCCCCCCTCCCCCCCTCTCCCCCAGGCCTTCTCCCGTCCACTTTTCCGTCGCACGGAGGTCCTCAGATCTCTCGAGGCCCTTGGAGGCCTCTTGAGGCCGCCCTCGACCCCCAAGGAACCCCAAGCTTCCAGGAACCTCGAATGCCGACGTTTCTCCTCCTCCTCCTCCTCCTCCTCCTGCTCCTCCTCCTGCTCCTTCTCATCCTCCTCCTCCTCCTCCTCGTCCTCCGCCTCGATCTTCGAGGAGGGTGGCGGAGGCCCCCATGGGTCGCGGGACGGGTCGGACCGAGAGCTGCGGTGAGGCTCTCGTGAGCTCAGCACTCGTGACCCGCGCGGCCAGCGCATCGGGCCGCCCCGCCCGTCTCAGCCGCTGCCGTTGCCGCCATCATCGATGCCGCCGCTGCCACCAGCGTCGTCGTCGGCGGCGGCGTCGTCGTCGTCGACTGCCCTCGTCGTCGTCGTCGTCGTCGTCGTCGTCGTCGTCGTCCGTCGTCGGTCGTCGGTCGTCGGTCGTCGGTCGTCGGTCGTCCTCTTCGTCGTCGTCGTCGTCGTCGTCGTCGTCGTCGTCGTCGTCGTCGTCGTCGTCGTCATCGTCGTGCGTCGTCCGTCGTTGTCGTCGTCGTCGTCGTCGTTGTCGTCGTCGTCTTCGTCGTCGTCGTTCTCTTCGTCGTCGTCGTCGTCGTCGTCCTGGTCGTCGTGCGTCGTCGTCGGCGGTCGCCGTCGTCGTCGTCGTCATCGTCGTCGTGCGTCGTCCGTCGTCGTCGTCCGTCGTCGTCGTCGCTCGCCGTCGCCGCCTGGCCGCCGCCCTGCCGCCGCCGCCCTTCGCCCGCGGCCGCGCCAGGCCGAAGGGCGCCCCGCCCGGCGCCGCGGCCTGAGGCGCCGGGCGTGCCGCCGCGGCCTGCCCGCGGGCGCGCCGCCGTCGGTGCGCGCGGGCCGGCGGCGCCCACGCGGTGCCTCGCGCGCTGCGGCGTCGTCGTCGTCGTCGTCGTCGTCGTCGGCGTCGTCGTCGTCGCCGCCGTCGTCGTCGGCGTCGCCGTCGTCGCCGTCGTCGTCGTCGTCGTCGCCGTCGTCGTTGATGCTGATGATGCTGATGATGATGGCGATGCTGATAATGCTGATGATCCTGGTGTTGATGATGATTGTGATTATGACGATGTTGACAATGCAACTGCTGCTGCTGATACTGATGAAGCTGCTGCTGTTGTCACTGCTGCTGCTGATGATGATGCTGATGCTGCTGCTGATGATGGTGATGATGATGAGACTTATAATGCTGCTGATGATGATGCTGCTGATGACGATGATGATATGACGATGCTGCTGATGGTACATATGATGATGCTGATGATGATGGTTGCGATGGTGATGATGATGCTGATGATGATGGTGGTGATGATGATGATGGTTATGATGCTGCTGCTGATGATGCAAATTATGATGATGCTGCTGCTGATGATGATGATGATGACGATGTTTATGAAAGTGATACCCATGCTGATGCTGATGCTGATGCTGACGCTGTGGATGATGATGCTGATGATGATGAGGCTTGGTGTTTCTGCTGATGCTGCTGATAAGGAGTCGGATGATGCTGATGATGCTGATTCTGATGATGATGAGGATGTTGAGGATAACAACATGACGACGATGGTGTTGCTGCTGCTGTTGATGATGATGATGATGCTGCTGATGATGATGATGATGATGATGATGATTATAATGATGATGTTGATGCTGATGATGATGCTGATGCTGATCATGATGCTGATCATGATGCTGATGATGAGGCTGCTGATGAGTATGCTGCTGATGCTGCTGCTGGTGATGATGCTGGTGACGATGACGATGGCGACGACGATGTATATGCTGCTGATCATGATGCCGATTCGCATGGTGATGATGCTGCTGATGATGATGCTGACGATGCAGCTGACGATGCTTATGATGATGATGCTGCTGACGATGATGGTGATGCTGATGCTGACGTTGATGCTGATGATGCTGATTATGAGGATGATGATGCTGATGCTGATGCTGATGTTGCTGATGATGCTGATGATGGCGAGGCTGCTGCTGCTGCCGATGGTGATGCCGATGTTGATGGCCATGATGCTACTGACTACGATGATACTGATGGCCAGTCGTCTCGTTATTATTATTATTATTATTATTATTATTGTTATTATTATTGTTATTATTATTATCATCATTATCACTACGACTACTATTATTATTGTTAGTATTCGTAGTATTCGTGTTATCATTATTATTGGCATTGTTCGTATTATTAGTAGTATTCGTATTATTCGTAGTATTGGCATTTTTCGTATTCTTCGCATTCTTATGTTTCTTATTCTTAGCATGGTTGTGACGGTTAGGACATGGACGTCCCTCATGAGGGTGATGCTGCCGATGCTGATCATCCGTAGTCGCATTATTGCTATTACAATCATCAAGCTGCTTCGTTTCGCTGGTAGGATTCGTAGTATTGCTGATCATGACAGTTTGCGGATTCTTACGGGCATTCGTGCTATCAGTATTCTGACCCAGGGGGCAGGAAGGAGAGGGAGGCGATGACAGGCAGCAGGACGGAGGGGAGGAGGAGGAGGAGGAGAAGGAGGAGGAGGAGGCGGAGGAGGAGGAGGAGGTTGGGGAGGGGGAGGGGAGGAGTAGGAGAAGGAAGGAGGAGGAGGAGGAGGAGGAGGAGGAGGAGGAGGAGGAGGAGGAGGAGGAGGAGGAAGAAGAGGATGAGGAACATGTGGAGGAAGGACACGCGGAGGATGCTGCTGATGATGCTGATGATGAGGAGGAGGAGGAGACGGAGGAGGAGGAGGAAGAGGTTTGAGGAGGAGGAGGAGGTGGAGGAGGAGGAGGAGGAGGAGGCGGAAGAGGAGGAGGAGGACGAGGATTCTGATGGTGCTGCTGCTGCTGATGTGCTGATGCTGATTATGATGCTGCTGCTGCTGATGATGGTGATGATGATGATGATGATGATGATGATGATGATGATGATGATGATGATGATGATGCTGCTGATGATGATGATGATGATGACGATGATGATGATGATGCTGTGATGCTGTGCTGCTGATGATGATGATGCTGATGATGCGGATGATGATGATGATGATGCAGATGATGATGCTGCTGATGATGATGATGATGATGATGCTGAGGATGATGATGATGATGATGATGATGATGATGATGATGATGATGCTGATGATGATGATGATGATGATGATGATGATGATGGTGATGATGAGATGAGGAGGAGGAGGAGGAGGAGGAGGAGGAGGAGGAGGAGGAGGAGGAATATGCTGATGAAGGGCACGAGGAGGAGGAGGAGGAGGAGGAGGAGGAGGAGGAGGAGGAGGAGGGGAGGGAGGAGGAGGAGGATGATAACGAGGAGGAGCAGGAGGAAACGGAGGAGGAGGAGGAGGGGAGGAGGAGCAGGAGGAGGAGGAGGAGGAGGAGGAGGAGGAGGAGGAGGAGGCGGGAGGCGGAGGAGGAGGAGGAGGAGGAGGGAGAGGAGGAGGGGGAGACTGATGAGGACGACGGCAGCGGCGGCGGTGCCGCCGACGGCGCCGCCAACCGCGCCTGCGGCGGCGCGCGGCGCTTTCTAGGGCACGCTGCGCCCCTCTGCTCGCGCGCCGCGCCCCTGCCTGTGGCGCGGGCTCGCGCGGCGCCTAGAAGGCCCCCAAGCCCTCTAACCCTCCAACTCTCCAAGCCATTAGCCCTCCAGCCCTCCAACCCTCCCTCTTAGCCCTTGACCCTCCATCGCTCCAACCCTCCAATCCTCCAATCCTCGAACACTCCAGCCCGCCAACCCTCCAACCGTCCCTGCAACCCTCCAAGCCTGCAGCCCTCCAGCCCGCGAGCCCTTCCTCCAACTCTCCAACCCTTCAGCCCTCCAGCCCTCCAACCCTCCAGCCTTCCAGCCCTCCAACCCTCTCTCCAACCCTCCAACACTCCAACCATCCAACCCTCCAGCTCTCCGTGCAACCCTCCAGCCCTCAAGCCCTCGAACCCTTCCTCCAACCCTCCAAGCCTCAAGCCCTCTAAGCCTCAAGCCCTCCAGCCCTCCAGCCCTCCAACCCTCCAACCCTCCAACCCTCCAACCCCCAACCCTCCAAGCCTCCAGCCCTCCAACCCTCCAACTCTCCAACCCTTCAATCCTCCAACCCTTCAGCCCTCCCTCCAACCTTCCAACCTTGCAACCTTCCAACCCTCGAACCCTCGAGCCCTTCCTTCAACCCTCCAACTCTCCAGCTCTCCAACCCTCCAGCCCTCCAACCCTCCAACACTCCAACCCTCCAACCTCCCCTCCAAGTCTCCAACCCCCAACCCTCCAACCCTTCAGCGGACCCTGGGCACAGTTCCCGTGATCGGGTGTCGTCGTCGTCGTCGTCGTCGTCGTCGTCGTCGTCGTCGGTCGGCGCCGGCGTCGGCGTCAGTGTCGTTGTTTGGGCCAGGCAGGCCTCGAGACATCCGCAGGCAGGCCTCGAGACATCCGCTCTCGAGGCGTTCGTTGCGAGTCCAGTCCAGAGCCCTTCCTCCTCCGACCTCCCTGCTGCTGGCGCTCCTCGTCCCTCCTCCTCCTCCTCCTACTCCTCATCCTCCTCCCTCCTTATCCTTCTCGTCGTCGCCCGCCTTCTCCTCGCTCTCCTCCTCCTCCTCCTCCTCCTCCTCCTCCTCCGCCTGCTCCTGGCTCCTGTGCTCCTGCTGCTCCTCCGCCTCCTCCTCCTCCTCCTCCTCCTCCTCCTCCCCCATCCTCTGCTCGGGTATCTTCCTCCGTCGGATCCTTCGGCGTCGAGAGGTCCTCCTGGCCGAAGGGCCCGTGAGGAGTGGACGGAGTTGACCTCTTGGGTGCGCTCGTCTCCTCCTGGCCCTCCTCTTCGTCCTCTGGCTCGAGCTTGTCGTGCCGCGGGCGGCGCGCCCCTGCTCCTCTTCTTCCTCTTCCTCGCGCTCCTCCTTCTGCTCCTCCCCCTCCTCCTCTTCCTCCTCCTCCCTCTTCCTCCTCCTCCCCCTCCTCCTCCTCCTCCTCCTCTTCCTCGCCCGCCTCCTCCTGCTCCTTCCCCTTGTCCAGCATGTCGCTGTGCAGCATCCTGCTTGGCACGTGCCTGAGCCTGCGCCGCCGCCCGTGGCGCCCTGGCCCCCTCTCTCGCGCTCCGCCCTCCTCCCGGCTGTGCCCAGGTCGGTCCCGCCGTGCCCCCCCCCCCCCTGGGTGGCCTCGACCGCGGCTTGGCGCCACGCCGCTGCGACCAGAAGTGCTTGTTGTGGGAGACTCGTGCAGTGGAGGCCCACGCCAAGAAGCACCCTGCTTGCCTCCAGGGTGCCCTGGCTTTTTCCCGGGGTTTCGATGGTTTTGCGATGGACGGCGCGACGTTCCTGCGCCCAAAGTCGATGGACGTCCTGGGGTCTCAGGGTTGGGCTTCTTGTGGAAGGTTTCTTGTGGACGGGCCTCCAGTGTATCTCAGATCCCCTGGTGCCGGGAGATTCCGTGGCATAATGCAGTGGCCCAGCGCGGCCGGCGAGGTGCGTGAAGAGCCAGGCGCTGGCGGGGACGTCGTGCCTTGAGCGCCAAACCCCATCGCCAGGGCCAAGCAGGCACTCGTGATCCCTTGCCCTTCTCGTCATCCTCACAGCTGTTTTTTCATGCACTGTTTCGTCGGTCGGCGCCTGGACCAGGTTTAAGTTGCTTTTGGCTGCTGATTTTGGCGACTGGTCAGGACCCCTCATCCCCAGTCTGCTTGCGCGACTGGTAAGAACCGATCGGCTAGCACTGCCCTAGACCCAGACCCCACTCTACCCCACCCTTCGGCCAAATGTCGAGACCAGGATAAAGAAAACGCCGACCTCCCTCCTCGTCATCCTTCCTTCTCACTCCGCCCCTCCTCCCTCTAACCTACTCTTCGTCTTTGCCCTCGCTTTTTCTCCCCCGTTTATTCCTCCGTTCCCTTATCGGTATCTGTTTCCTCCTAATGCTACCCCCGTCCCAGCAGCGAAGTGGAGGAACGAAATAATAAGGATGAGGATGGGGAGAGTGAGAGGGATGAGTGTGAGGAGGAGGAAGAGGATAATACAGGCCAGAGTCAATCCAAGATGCATCAACGATCCCAGGTGCTCACCTCATAAGTCCCCACAAGTATCCCTTTCCATTGCGGGAGCTGCCACCGTTGACGGACGACCGCCCCGTGGGCCAGCCATCATTCAGGCGACGCTCAGTTTTTTAAAGGATAAAGTTGCCGTCCTTCTAGCTACCAGAATCACGGAGAGCTCCGTTTCGAAAAGGATGTGTCTTCACGAAGTCTCAGGCGAACCCCCCAGTCCGCCCGAGCGACGCGCCAGGTGGTGTGACAGGGAGGGAGGGACCATCCAGAAGGAAACGACGGGGTGGAGAGGGAGCAGTACCATGAGGCAGAGGACCAGGGCAACGCCAAGACGCATCAACGATGTTGCCATGCGCCCGCCCGCCCTTGGGGTCCCTTCTTCGGAGCACCTGCCATAATTCCTCTTCGCTGCGGGCACTGCCCCGTTACCAGGTCAACGCCGAGATGCATCAACGATGCTGCCATGCTCCCGCCCGCCCCCCGGGTCGCAGGCCTAGAGGTTGACACCAACACCAATATCGGCGGTGTGCCTTCACAGTGCGAAGAAGATCTTGATCTCGGTGATGGTGGTAATATTCTGGCTTCCAAGGTGACCGAAATGTTACCTCCAACACCGAAATCTAGGATCAGCTTCCCCCAGTGGGGGCAGCCCCCCTGTGCCGATCTTGGTGCCCATTCCCAGGCCTCCAGCCGGGGTCCCTTCCTCAGGAGCACCCGCGCCATACGTCCTCTTCGCGGCGGGCACTGCCCCTGTGGAGGGACCAGAGCGCCCCATCTGGCCCTGCAACTTTCGGGCGATTGTGCACCGTTTGGAGCAGGAGCTGCCTTCCGTGCTTCTAGCTTGACGTCGGGCATGTCCTTCTGCAGGAGGAACATTCCATACATAGTAAACAACATCAGGTTTTCGTTTTTTGTTTGTTTGTGTCGTTTTCTCTTTTTTTTCTGATTAAGCAAAGTGAAAGAAAAACGTATTGTTTCGTCCACCATCCGCCTGTAGGAGGACACGCCCGACCTAATTCTGGCGATAGCGACGGCGACGAGGTGGGAACACAGAGTCCAAGGAGGTGTCTAGCGAGAGGCCCGATTGGAACAGGCGCCACCCTGAATCCGTGCACATTTTCTTCAGTGTCAGACGCCTGGCCACCCAACACATGAAATGTTGTGGGGGGGGCGGTTCGAACACGAACCGCTCTTCACACGTGCGGTTGCGCAGTCTTAGGCATCGGAAACACGAATGCTTGATTTCCCCCACAGTGCTTGCTCTTAGGGGCTTGTACTTCTGTTCTAAGGAGCTGGGCCGTGTCTTCGGTCTGGCGGCTATGTGGCCGCCGTCGCCGCTCCGTCACCGCCTCGTGGCCGCCTGTGGTCTGGGCCGTGTCTTCGGTCTGGTGGCTATGTGGCTGCCGTCGTCGCCTCGTCGCTGCCTCGTCGCCGCCCGTCGTGTGGGCCGTATCTTCGGCTGATGGCCGCCGTCACCGCCTCGTCTCCGCCGTAGAGTCTCCTTTCTAACAGAGTATTCGGATCTGCCCCCCTGGTGTTATCGGTACACTTTGTCGTATTGCAATGTTGCACATGGTTCTGCTCTGTTCGTCCGTCCTAAATATGAACTCGTACCATCCCAGCCAGGACGGTATCGCTCCCCCCCATGCTTTGCAGAAAAGATTATGCGCGCGCACTCGTTTATCAAGAACCAGCAGTTTTCAATAATCCCTTGCAACAAAAAAAGACGAAGTGCACCCGCGCGCGTCGAGGCGCGCCCATGCTGGAATCTTTCAAAAACGTTGGGTTTCGCACGCATTTCAAAATCGGCTGTTCCGAAAACACGTCAAACCACATGGTTTAGCAACGGGTTTTGAAAACAAGCCTGCACCCGCGCTCTTGTGAATTCTGAAGACAACCATCGGCTTTTCATCACTCTCATAACATGCTACCAAAGGGGCCTGTCGCGCGCGCATGTCGAAGTCTCTCGAACGCCCTTGCGCGCGTGCTGTCGCAAGAGCCCTTTGCAACCAACGGGTCGAAGTGCACGCGCGCGCGCGTGTCGTCGCGCGCGCATGCCGGAATCTTTCAAGCACCTTAGGTTTCGCCAGGGTGTCAAAAACGAGTGTCCCCGAACACATATCAAAACACATGGTTTGCAACATCCGTTTTCGAAAAGAAACCGGCGCGCGCGCTCTGGCGAATTCTTAAGAAAACCATCGGTTCTTCAACATTGCCATCAATTTCTGCCTTACGAGCCTCTCGCGCCGCATGTCGAACTCATCCGAACGCCCTTGCGCGCGTGCCGGGGGGCACGATCCAATTCAAACAATACTGCGCGGGCCACTCGCGCGCGTCGGCCGCGCGCGCATGTCGAACCCCTTCCAAAACCTTCATCACCGACGCAAGGAAGGATATCGTCGTTTTTTTTCGGTGGGCGTGATCAACATAGGCGCCGTCATTGGCCTTGGCGTCGTCATCGCCACCATCGTCATCATCATCGCTACCCACATCATCGTGTCTACCGTTCTCGGCGTCGCCATGATACCGCGCCCGCCCAAGTCACCGACTCGCGCTGAAGTTCCCGC